CTGAGAAGCTACCTGGCTTCAGATTGTCTTGGAGGCGGGCTTAGAGGAAGAAAAAAAAGGGAGAGATTGGGTTTATCTGATCTGAAATGTTGGGTGAGACCTGGCATGGCAGAAGCAGCAGGAGCTGTAGGGACCAAGGTCTGAAGATGTTACCAGGTGGTCTCAGGTGGGGTGGGGGCTCAAGAGAGCTTAAAGCTTCCTGGAGAAATCTTGTCTCCCTCCACATGTAACGTATGGCGTGAGAGACCAGCTGAGACCACCAGGCTTCTGTAAAGGCAACGTGGCCTGGAATTTATTGTGCCTGGGTGCAGGCATACAGAAGGTGAAAAGACTACCTGACGGGAACAAAGAGAATGTCCCCCTTTTATAGGGATGGAGAGAAGGCAGGGGACATTAGGTGGGAAGATTTTAATAAAACATTGCCACATCCTGTGCAGCTCTCAAAGTTGCCAGGATGAGGAAGGTGAGAGGATGATGGGGAAAAAAGGACAAGGGTCAGAATACAGAAAACTGAGGCCAGATGGAGCCCTCCTTCCTGATGGGAAGTAAGGAAGGGAGGAGGAGGAGGAGGAGGAGGAGGAAGAGGGAACTGATAGTCTATCTTGAAAACGTGCAGCAGTTGGAGTACTGGCAAACTTTTGAAAGCTTTGTCAGATGGGGAATAATTCAGTGGTGCTGTATAACCTATAATTGTCATGGTACTAGAGGTCTCAACAAGCAAAATAAGACAAAAGAATAAGTACTGGACAGGGAATAGTACAACTTGTCAAATACTAAGTAGCCACATGTGGCTAGTAGCTGCATTACAGTGCTGATGCCAATAAATCTGTTATTTCAAAAAATTCTGTGGATAGCACTGTTCTATAGAGGCATTTCAACCAAATTTTCAGCATGGGTTTGTTTTGGCAGATTTAATGAGTTGCTTCAGAAACATTATGGAAGTACAAAGGGTTAACAATAGCCAAAACGTAGAGAAATATGTCTCTACTTGTTACTAAAACTTATAAAGCTATTGCAATTTAGACAGCATTGGTTTTTATATGACAAAATCTAGGTAATTCGGTATCTGAGAGAATAAAAGAATCAAATCCAAATGGATTGCTCGTCTGCAGTGTGTAAGGTAAAGCCCTAGCCTCTAGAAGATAACAAGATTTCTTCATGCCTTTTTGGTGCAAAGAAAAATATCTTTTAAACTGACACCAGTAGTACTATTAGGAACTTCTGATCATTAGAGAATACATTGAGAGGGACCATGTCACCCACCTGTAACCAATCTGGTGCTCACATCCAGATATGTAAAGATAAAACAACAACAGTAAGATGCTATTAGAAATTTATGAGGAAAAATGGATATGCAATAGAAAAAAATGGAAAAGCAGCCTGCCAGAAGCGTCCAGGTGACTAACATACAGAGCAGACAGGAGGAAAACGCCAGCCCAGACTACAGTGAAACACCGCTTGGTACCTGTCTGAATGGCTGAGACAGGAGGACTTTGAGACCAGTGGCAGTAAAGTAGAGGAACCATGGGAGTTTTCATAAATTACTATTGAAAAAATGGGTTAATTAATAAAAACTGGAAAAACAGAACAGTATCTGTGCGTACCCTGTGTACTGAGAATTTTATTACTGGTGATATTCATAGTAGTCCTGAAGTGGAAACAGTCTAGATGTCAGTCAAAAGTAGGATGGATAAACACCTGTTCATATAGTGGGATATTAGAAAGCCTTGACAGTGAACAAAGTACAGCTTGTAGGTATAACGTTAAGCATTACATTATATTTAAAATGAAAGCAAGTCTGGTTTGGGAGGTCAGGCAGCAGTAACTTTAGGGAAGAGAGAAAAGGTACTGTTTGGAAAGAAAGGATCAAGGGTAATATGGTTGGTTTCTGGGGTGCTAGCTGTGTTTTATTTTTATTTTTGGTCATATAGATTATTCCTCTTAGGATAAGTGTTTAAGCCATGGACTAATGATTTTTGTACTCTTTTCTGTAATTTTGTAATAAGTAAGTATGGACATAGGATATAATTAGTACACTCCTCGGAGAAACAGAAACTAACAATTTAAACAGTTTTGTGTGTCAGATTCCATTGTATGTGCCTACTTGTGGGCTCATTTAAACTTCTTAACAAAGAATAGTGTTAGTGTGATAGTAGCTGCTGTGTAGACATGAAGATTAAGACCCAGAGTGGTTAGGTAATTGACCTTTCACAGCCTTGATACTTTTCCTGTTGCTAAGAGCTCTTTGTAGATTAAGGAGCTTGGTTTCTTCCACATGTATTCATATTTATGTTCCTTACTAGTCCTTTGTTTTTAACATATTCCTTCCTCCTACACTATTGCACAGTTTTGATTTTTTGCTATTACAGATGCTATACTCAATATCTTTGTACATCTCATCAATTATTTTCTTACGTTAAACTTAAGAAAGTTTCTTTTTTCTTCTGGTTTGGTTTTGGTTTTTGGTGGTGTCTGGGTTTGAACTCAGATCCTCACATGTGTGTGTTAGGCAAGTGCTCTATCACTGAGCTACATCCTCAGCGTGTACCCTCCCCTCCTCCTCCTCCTCCTCCTC